ACATTATTATGTCTGAACTGAGAGTGAGGAACAAGAAAGAATTAGAACGCAGAGGAGCCTCCCTGGTCCCTCTACCAAAACTTCACACCTTGGCTTCCTCTGAGAAATGATTGCAGCAGATAGAGGCACCAAGAGGAGCTGCTGAGGCAGCCCAGGCTCACACACTTGCTTCCCTGGGGGCTTTATGTTATGACTTATAACACTGTGGGAGGAAAACTGTCCCACTGCTGACAGTAATAAGTTGCAAAATCTTCAGCCTGCAGTCTGCTGATGGTGAGGGTAAAATGGGTCCCAGAGCCACTGCCGCTGAACCTTGATGGGACCCCAGGCTGTAATGTGGATATCCTCTTGATCAGGAGCTTAGGAGATTTCCCTGGTTTCTGCTGATACCAGTTTAAATAATTGCTAATTTCCTGACTGGCTTGGCAAGTGATGGTGACTTTGTCTCCTACAGATGCTGACAGGGAGGATGGAGCCTGGGTCATCTGGATGTCACATTTGGCACCTCAAATTGGAAACATAGAAAGAAATATTCACACAATTACCCATGTTATAAGAGGACTTCCCTGAGGAGCCAGGTAGGACTGAACTCACTGTCTGAATAAATTTCTGGGGTTCTCCCTCCTTACCTGGGAGCCAGAGCAGCAGGAGCCCCAGGAGCTGAGTGGAGGTCCTCATGTCCATGCTGTGTCCTGACAGGGACTGACTCCTGCACAGGGTGAGGTGTGACCAACTGTTAATAAGTCTTCAGGGCAGGGGGCTGTGTCCCAAGAATATGTAAATCATCAGGGCTGGGCAGGCTGAGCACAGCTGCAAGGCTGGCTCATCTCAGTGACTCAGAAGAGGCCCAGTGGCCCAAGTGTCCCAGGGCAGACCAGGGCCACACAGATTTCCCTGTAGAGAATGTCTTTCTCCCTGGAGGATGTTTTTTTTTTTTTTTAAAAGGACATTTGGGGGCATCTATTGTTAAAACTTGAATGCGAAGGAAAAATGCAATCATGCATTTCAAAGTTGTATTAGGAATATGTAGGAGAATATCCTTATTTATAAAGAATTATAACAATGCCTTAGAGGGTAAGGCTATCAGGTAGTAAACATGTTGTCAAATGTTTCCAGACAAGACTCTTGGGACCCCACACTGCAGCTCCTGCTGACCTTCCCAACTCAACATCCTCTTCTGGTCAACACCCTCTTCATCCTCACTACACGATCTCTTCTGAATGATCATTATTGTACGGGCAAATGAGACCACTCATCCCCAGGTATATAAAGAGGATAGACTAAATATTTGGAAACATACCCATGCCCTCTTGTGTTCACTAGCAACGTGTGATGTGACCTAAGGTGCATTTAAGAGGGATCCATATAAGCCCCAAGTCACTAAAGCCTTTGGGCCCAACTTGATGCTCCCCTTCTCCATGAGTTTGCAGTGGCATCAGGGCACAGCCTTATGTGCCAGGCAGGTGTCCATCCACCTCTGTGATTCTTCCTGTGACATACATCACAGCCTCTATCTGGGTTCGTATCTCTACCCAATCTCACCAGCATCAATACCCCAACAGAAAAGCTACAAAATTCAGGGTGGTGCCTGTGGCTCAAAGGAGTATGGTGCTGGCCCAATATACTAGAGGAGACGGGTATAAACCCAGCCCTGGCCAAAACCTGCAAAACATAAAATAGATTAAAAGCTACAAAATTTGGTCCTAGGTCAACAGCTGACCTCTGCCGTGTGTTTTACGTTCTCATTTACTTCCTCTGCCAAAGTCTCAATATTCTT